CGTTTCCGAAAATGTAGAATACTCCATTCAAGCTCTTTAAGAGTATTAGTGAATTTACTGAATCTCCTGTAATGCGAAAATCCAAATTATCCTCAATTTAAACTCAGGACATTAAATCCTTGGAACAGCAGTTCTCTTTCCAGATAATTGGCCTCAATTAATGAGTAAGATTCTCTTATTGATTCTTCTATTAAATAACAGCATTTATGAGGTATTCTTGTTATAAGGGACATGTTATAGGGTTATGTTTTGACTTTAATCCGAGAACTTAGTGTGTTTTTAAGTCGTATGTTCAGACATCCAAAACCATCAAGAATTCTCTTTAACCCAGTTAAGTAATTTTTATCAAAAAAGAATGAAAGAATTAATACCGTACCCTATCTTTCAAAGAATGCCTTTTTACTGTATGATACATTGCAAATTGCATAAAAATCTTGTATGAATGTTTTTATTCGAAGATTTAAAACTAAAGAAAACATTGAAAATGTGAATTATTAATATGATGATACTTATAGCATCCATTCTGAAAATAAGTACATATTATTAAATATATTATTATTATGTACATTTTAAATTTTGAATATTAAAAAAATTTATTGAAATGTGTGATTAAAGTGCATGCATTCCAAAAAATTAAATTTGCAAATTTGTTAATATTGTATTAATGCTAAACATGGGTATTGTATTAATACTAAATTGCGAATGATCCAATTTTAAAACTATCACTGCAAGTTAAATATAAAAAAGAATTTACTTTTAATAAAAAATAGTAAAGCAATAATTAAACTGTTTAAAAATCTCTGAGAATATTTGTGGTTGAAAGTTTTTTGCGGACGAAAATATATAACTTTGTTTTATTGCTATAAGCATTCTATATTAATATAAAATTTATTTTATTCCACCAATTTTATCTGGGATTTTTAGCACACTTAATATCACCATTTATATTTTTTATCATTAGTTATTTATGTGCTTAGTACTTATTAGAAAATTTTTCAAGCATATTCCACGTTAATTGTTTAACAGTATTTCATCCATTTCCATACAAATGGATGGATAGTTAACTAATTGTAGGTATTTATTTGCCTTTAAGAATTAAATCCTAAAAAAACAGGAAATGAAATTATTTCAAAATCATAAAGCAAAAATCTTACTTCGAAATTCTTCATAGTTCTCTAATTTCATGATTATTCATTTATTATAAAGGAAATTAAATTAAATAGGAAAAATTAGGAACACAAAACTTTAAGCAACAATAGGAAGAAAAAAAATTTAGAAAAACTTTTTGTACCTATTTTCACACTTTCGACTACTCTAACTCGCTTCTTTCTTTTAATATTTCTAGTGTTCAAACTATCGTTTTATAGTTTTTCGTGTATTAATCATTTGTTATTATTTTTATACTGATCATTTGATTGCTTTTTAAAATATTTCCCTTTTATCGCTGGCTAAAAACTTTTCTATTAATTAAACTAATTATCTCGGTGTATGTAGATTGTGCCTTGAATTTACTTATTATAATTCATTTGTTTATCTCTGTTTATAATTTAATTTATCCTCAATTACTCTTTCTTATATCGATAAAATAAACGATACTTTTTAATCGCTTTTCTTTAATTCATTCCATCTATTAACTAATTGATAAAAAAGAAGTAAATATAAATATTTTCAAACACTGACTTCATAAGTGCAGAAACCAAATAGAATCTAATGTTCTCAAATCCTCTTTATAATAATAACTTTTCACAAATTTTCATTCATCGTAAATAAAACAGAAATATATAAAAGAAATGAGATACAAGGAAAACTATAAACTGGTATACAAAAAATTCATTTTTAAAACCAAGAAGATACATTTTATTCAAAATATATTCGCTCATCAATCACCTCTTTTCACAGAACATTTTTAAATTACAAAAGTAGATTTGCAAAATATGAAGTACTACAATTTTCATATCACTTACCTTTACTAAAAACCGTCTTCTTTTTCTCTTATCATTGCATTTTTTCTTCATTCTTCTTGAGATGAATGTAATTTACGGCAAGTTTATCGCAAATTGTTACTCATTCCTTCTATTTTTCTTTTTATAGGTTAGAATGAATTTTTTGGGAATACATTTTTACATTTGAGAATTAAAATGGTTTTTTAAATGTATTATTTCGTAGATCAGTCTTTGGTGAGTTACAAAAACTAGTTTATAATTTTTTTTAATATTTAAAAGTGTTTTTGTACGTATTAAAAGAATTTTTACAGATATTAAGGAATATTATTTAAAATTACAAAAAAAATATTAAGGAAGTTTTAAGTGAAATATGAAGAAAAAGGGGAAAAATTGTATTAAAGATGTTTTCTGCAATGACTGTAAGAATATTTTTAATATTTTGAAAACTATTTCATTTTGTGTTTTTGAAAGCATTTTTAATATCCTTTAATTATTTTGGAAGTACAAGCTAATATTTTTACGAATTGTTTTTAATATAAAGGAATAAGGAATATTTTTAATAGTGTTTTAAGTATATTTTAAAGAATATCTTTAAATGTATTTCTTATTATTTTCAGATAGAAAATGTTTAATAGTTTTCTTAAGAATAATTTAAAAAATTTATTGCATGTCTCTATATATTCTGTTTCATGATTATAAACTCAATTTACTTTTAATATATAAAATTTAAACAGGGATTTCTTAAGTACTTAATTTCATTTCATAATGAAGGCATTAAGATACATAAAGAAACTAGTTTTGTGAAATGTAATTTAACCATTAAGTTACAGGAGTTTAAATCTGCTTCAATTCTTGTTAGTATATTTTTAGAAGTGATTGTTTTCAAAGAAGAATATTTCAATCTTTAATTTGTTTTATACAATTGTTATTTAATTAGGGGTTTCTATATAGTTCTATTACAGTCAAACCCCGCTATAGTGAACTCCCGGATATAGTGAACCAAATGTTCGGTCCCGTGCCTTACTTTACAAGCATAATGTTATTTATGGTGGATATAGTGAACCAAAAAAGTGAGGAAGTTGGATATAATGAACTTTTTTCTGTCTTCGACTGATTTTTTTTCTTAATTTCTTTCGATATTTTAAGGAAATATAAACTATCCAAACCTGAAGCTTGTAACATATGGAAAAATAGGCAATTAATAATTTCTTCTCGCGAAAAAAATTTAGATGGCAGAAAAAGTTGAGAAAAGCTGATCACAAGGATGTTAAAGAAGCATTACTGAAGTGGTTCACCATTCGAAGAAGTCACAATTTTCCAGTATCTGGACAAATGTGGATGAATTTGCTAAGTGATTTTATGGGACTACTTTCATATGCTTGAATGGCTGGTTTAGACAGGTTTAAAAAATGGAATAACAGAAATTCAGGAAAAATTATCTGAGAGTCGGGAAGTGTTTCCATAACTGATGTTGAGGATTGCTCATCGGCTAAAGATTACAAATTTTTTTGTACGCAAGACGAAGAATAATAAAAAATAACAAATTTTTTGCTACTACATAATATTTTTTAGTCATTTATTTGAATAATGTGTAATAAAAGGGAGGAGTTTGGGAATCATTAGCTAAATTACCTACGTAACGGATATAGTGAACACCCGGTTACAGTAAACCGAAATTTCGGTCCATTTCGGTTCACTATAGCGGGGTTTGACTGTATTTAAATTACTCAGAATCTAATTTTTAAGTAGAAAAAGTCCGTTTTTCTCTATTTAATGTTTATGATTGAAATTTACGTTACGAAAAGCTATTTTTATTAATCCCAATTATTGAATAATTTAAGGTTTTTCTTGAATTAATGAAATAGGAAAATAATTATGAATTTTCATTAATTAAATATAATTTTAAATTCTTAATTATTTATTTTTATTAATTAAATATAATTTTAAATTTTTAATTATTCATTTTTATTAATTAAATATAATTTTAAATTTTTAATTGTTCATTTTATTTATAAGTATTTAATTTTTTTTAAATTTTAACATTATTTAAAAGTAATTATTTTACATAGTTACTTTTGTTTAACACTTACATTTTTATTTACAGAAATGCCATTTTCATAGGACTTTTAATTTCTGTATTTAATAATAAAGCATTTAATTTCTGTATATAACTTAATATTCAAATATAATAACTTTTTTTTAATTTACATTTAACATCGCAAATTAATTTATGCATTAAAAAAAGAACTGCATTCTATATCCGAAATTGTATTAGAAAATTTCAGATTAAATGTGTTAAGAACTTCCTTGTACACGTAAAACTTTCTTTTAATTCGATAATTGAATTATATTTCTTGAGATCACTCCATCTAATTTTGAAGAGAGATTTTTTTACAAATAAAAGAATTTTCACCCTGTTTTAAATTCATTAGTTCATATTAAGATCTAATCATTAATATATTGATTACGTTCCTCTTTATATTTTTAAAGTGATACTTGCAGCCATTCCTTGTCATAATCATCATAATTCAACCTTGAAATTATGTTTAAAAACACTTAGATTTTTATAATATTTCGATATGTGTTTTTTTTAATTATTTGTAGAAAAATATTGACTTATTTTGCCAATTTTGCAAAATATTCTATTACTTTTAAAAATTACATTTATCATTTAACTCAATTAAATAATCAACAATGAAGGATTAATAATTTAAGGAAAAAAAGTTTTATATTTCATTAGTTAGTTTCATAAGTTTTTTTTTCGTATCGTTTTTCCTGAGATTTTTGGACATTAAAATAAGTTTCCTTCCTTTTAAGTTAATCTATTTAAGCCTTAAATAAAGCCTCTACATTTATACTCAAAGCATTTTTTTTTCTTTTTTTATTACACAAATTTTTCAATGTCATTTTTAATTTAAAAAAATATAGTATCTAATTCAATTAAATATTCAAAAAATACAAGTTTAAATTATTAACACATAAAAACACTCATAAAAATGCAAACAAAACAACGTGCGATACACTGAATTATAGACAGAAAGCAAATAAATATCTTACTTGTCCGGAACCAGAGATTTTTCCAGAACTTGCTTGAATAAGTCTCTCACAATAACAACCTTCTAAGAAAATCGCCCCAGAAGGCCTCGTAGATGTTTCGTTTTCATAATAGAACAGCAGGTTCTGATACAAGACAAACCATCTAAGTTGCCACTTAGCATTCTCCGACGTGCGCTTAAACAGGTAGCCTTTCTTACAATTATCATGCATAGCCTTTTCGGCAAGATGCAACAGTTGAATCTCGTTAAACCGCATGTCGAGTTCTAGTTTTAGCCTTTTACAAATAAAAGATAAGGTTTCTACCTCACTCTCTTTGGAAGTGAAAATAAAAACTCTATAAAACAGAAACTAAGATGTTTTTTCCCTCACATTAAGTCATGGTCGAGGATTTTTTTCCCCATCAATAAATTCCTCTGGATAAATAACTTTGCAATAAGTCGAGAAGCGCGCGCTGAGGACTTGCAGCAAGTCTTATCATTTTGCCAGATTCCACAAAACCCTGGGCAAAACTAACTGCCTCACTAACGCCACCACCTGCAAATTGCCTCAAACACGAATGTAGGGATAAAAAGGGGGGGGAGAGGGAAATATTTCGGGAGAGCGCGCTTTCTGGGAAAACTCCGACTCCAGAAAACCGGAAACTTTAAACCATTCCACAGGTTCTACCAAAAGCTGTGGGATCACTAGTCAAAGTAATCACGACCGAAATAGGATGAAGGAAATTTTTTATGGATTATTAAATATTTTTAACAAAATTATCCGGGGATTATTTCTAGATAAACGGGGATAAAACTTTTGTTTTTATGAATTTTAATACCTGTGGAGCCTAAACTTTAACTACTACCCTAGCTGAGGGAATCTGCGACACTGCTCCTGGTTCTAAAATCCCGGAATGTGCACTTCACTCGGGGGGAGGTTTACGCTTGGCGAAATTATCGATATTTTGGCTGCAGTTTAAATGTAGGTAGTTCCAGCGGGGAAAAAATTAGAAAACCAGAGAATGGTAATTGAAAACGAGCCTAGTGAATTTCACGAATAAATACGGGATACTCAAAATATAAAAACAAAATATCAAATATTAAATGTGAATTATGGAATAACTCTTCTCAAGTAAGTGGAAATATTTTATTTAATATAAAAGTATTAATTATTCAAAGTATTAGCTTTAATTTTTGAGTTATTTAAAAAACATTAAGCATTATATCAAGGCTTTAAATATAATCTACTCTGAATGTTTAATTTTTTAAGAACAGTGTGTACTTAATTTAAAAAATTTCATTAGAACATATTAACAATTATCTCTTTCTTTTTGCTTTTCCAATATTTCATTAAAAAAAACCAACAAATTCTGGTTTATTGCTAGTGGCGTTAATAGTAACATGAAAAAACTCAGTATTTACTTTGAAAATATTCTTAAAAAAAGTATACAATAAAATCAGTAAGCATGCTAAGCATAATAATCACCTAATTTAGAATATCAAAAATTGTATAATGATTTGAAATACACTAAAAACTTTGAATAATGTTGATTCTCTGTACTGTTTTGATTTCAAAAACTTAAATACCTCCCTTCAACCTAATAAAATTCTTGATGGCCTTCTTCAAATTCATAGCTTGTTTAATCTTAATGATATTATTGATTATGAGAACTGGAAAGCTGTCAAGTTCGTATTAGACTAGGCAACAATTATATTTCTTTTACTGACTGTTTCTCTCAACAAATTAATTGTATCCCCATGGGAAATAATTTTAGTACTTCTGTTGGCAATATTTTTCTTTTTCTACAAGAATATACGTCAAATCATATGATAATCTTCCTACAAATTCCTTCCTCCTCAGATTTATTAATAACCTTTTGGTTATTAATTTGGACGATTTTAATATTTAAGCTAAACAAATTTATCCAAATGAATTAATTCTTAACAAAACTAATATTTGAAATTCTTCAGCAAATTTTCTATATTTAACTCTTATTATCAATGAAGATAGGAAAATTATATTTAAACTTTTTGACGTAAGAAATGATTTTAATTTTCCAATTAAAAAAAGAGCATTGATTTTAATTCCAACTTTGTCAATAGGGTTTTTTCCAATGTTATTACCAATCAAATTCTTAAGTCTTACAATAATAATTCAAACTATAAAGAGTTTTTAAAAGCAACTAATAAATTTAAATCAGATTTAGTTAATGGCCATTTTCCTGATTCATTCCTTCAATTTTATTTTTAAAAAATATTAAACCACTTAGAACACTAAAAATTTTATATTTAAATTTATAAATTTTTATATTTATACATATATTTTCTTATTTTCATTATTTTTTTATTTTTATTAAATATCTTCTTTCTGATTTTAGAATTAGCTCTGATTCATTTTTAAGGTAGGGAACTAATTATGATAAGCTATTCCTAGAGTAACTGGACGGAATAGTTTGGATGTATAACCTTTTAAACTGGATCAACTAATTTATTAAGTAAACTTCTAAATAAATTGTAGCCTCTATAAAATAACTTTATTTATATTTTGACTATCCAGTGTAATAAACAGCTTATTTTTATTTATTACTATATAGTTTTTTTTGTACGTATGAAATGAGATCTGGTTTATGAACAGGCAACCCCGAAGAATGCAAGTAATGCGTGTAGACTTTACTGTTATGAAAGAATGTGTGAATGAAGGATAGTCTAGAAACGGCTTTCTATCCATGTATGCAAGCTCTGATTTATAAACAGTCACCCTATGAGATAAGGAATTGCAATAAAAAGACTTATTCCTAGTTTATGTTTGTGATTTAAATTCGACAACGATTACCTATTTGAAAGTTTATTTTTTAAGTTTAATTTTACTTTTTTAATTATTTTTATTTTTTCAAAACTTTTTCTTCCTATTAAGAGTTTTGTTATTTAAATTTTCCAAATATTGTGTTATTAAAGTGTTTTTTCACTAATGCCAGCACTGAAATTTAATTTACTTCATATTTTTTCTACCAAATATATTTTTAAAAATTATATTATACGATTTAAGTATTAAGTGTTTTATATATTTTTCTTCAGAGCGAATTTTTTTTAACTGTAAGATTAGTATATCTATTTTCAACGCATTTTAACTCTTACTCCTCGTCGGTAAGTTTTTTTTCTGCTTTCTTTTATCTCAAACTTATTTTCATTTGCATTTTAATTTTCTAGCGATATAGACGCATTATAAAGAGTAATTTTTTTAATCTGAAAATAATTACTTTTTTTCGAGAATATCGCATTTACCATCGTGCACTAAACTTTAAGTCAAATACCGAAACAAATAATAAAGCTAAGATATATATAATGTTTATTTATTTATTTATTATTATCTATTTCTTGCCTTTCTCGGTCTCCTCACGTTATTAGAACAAAACTCTTATTTAGTAATTTATCTCATCTGAATAAACTGTATTCAGTATCATCTGGCATGGTGCTGTTGCTCAAGACAACTCAAGGTATTTAAAATTCACCACCATCACGCTACTTCCTCCTGCACTTATATCTTGGAGGAGCTGTAAAAAGTCTAGTATAAAAATATACAGTATTGGTTCAGCTGTAATAGGCACCAAATTTACTCGTAGAATATTTTACTTCAATTAGCCATTAATACCAAATTTATCAATATTGTCGTCAATAATATTGGTATTTTTTATGCATGTCTTCAGCGTATTAGTAACATATATCCATTAAATTTGTTACACTGCTCATTCTATTACTTCAAATAGTAATTCACCAGAATTAATTATCATTGGCGCCAATAATAATATTGTTTTTTATACTTCATCGACGAATTAGTTCTATTTCTGCTTTCAGCTTTTCAATGCTGAATTTTTTTACCGTTGGTTTCAAATTCTTTAGCTTATCATTCGTTTCAAAGCAAGTTTTAAAGCATAACTATAAACAAAATAAACACGTGGTTTCAAATAATCTTGGGAATGATAGTTTTATGATGTACTTGCTTATGCTACCACTATCATTTTGATCCTTCAAATAACCTGGTATGACAAAAAAATATAATTAATTATAACAAAAAACGCAATAAACAACTTTTTGATTAAAAAAAAATAACCTAACAAACATTACTGCTCTATCTTTGAAATATTCGAAAAACTGAAACATCGATAGTTTATTTAGAAACAATGGCTACCTCTAAGTTAATGCGAATTTTATATCTGAACTAATAGTCAAAAATAGAGCTTCACAATTTTACAATTTTACTCATTAAGATTCATTTTGAATCTCGTATTTTTAGAGCTTACGGTATACTTGCAATCCGGTGGACACACACACATTTACATAAACCCACGCACATTCTCTATCTTATGTATAGATTATTTGTTACCCTTCTCTGTGACTTTACGTTATTAGATTAAGCAAAACACATTGTCCCATAAAAATATATACTAACTGTATTCAGTATTATCTGGCATAATGCTGTTACTCGAGGCAAATCATAATTAAAATTTTCTGCAATCAACCTACTTTTTTTGTACTTATATCTAGCATAAAAATGCACAGTATTTAGTGTAGCTATAATCGGCATCAAGTTTACTCACAATATAGTTTGTATCTATATAAGGGCATATTTGGTACCTATTAAAGCTGCACCAATTACCATAATTTCTGTTGTCAGTGGTACCTACTACCAAAATTAGGTATGAATTTTTATGATATTTTTGATGTATATTTTTTCTCTGAAATCTTCGTTTTTAAAGCAAAAATCAAAATTTTCTTTTTAAAAAAGAATTACAGGTTCACCAATTACAGGTCCACACAGTTACTGTTGAGATTATTCTTCCCTACACTTTTAGAAATTTGGAAACCTGTTGATCCATGATACCGTTTGATTTAGATGCAATTTAAATATGGTTCCAAGATAAGCTAAATTACTGCACTTTTAAATATGATTATGCGATATTAGAGTTCTTTTTTTAAACATAAAACCTGCTCAATTTTACAAATCCACCAGATTTGCAGTGAACGCGAATCATATAATAGTGCAAAATACAATTATTATGGCTCAACGTTGAACTAATTTTTCTTAAATTTTAAAAAGTATGGCAAAAATTTTATTGGCTATTTTAATCGATTGAAATTTGTTTTGATTAAGCACCTGAGCTTAATGCAAATTAAATTATACAAAAAAAGTTTATATACACGTTAAATGCATTGCAAACTGAATTATTTTTAGGGGAAAATTGATCTGTAATTGAAATTGTGAAATGGTATTCGAAGGAGCATTTAGTGCTTAAAAACTCATTGAGAATGTTCCACAAAAAGGTAAGATGCGCTTAAAAGTTGAATAAGAATAAGGAATATATTTCAAGCTTAAAATCTGAAATTTTCAATTTTTAATATTGTATTCTTTTACTATCTCAATGTGTAATATAAGTATTCAGTGTCGATTGCTTATCACCGTTCAGGAAACGCATTACAATTAGAGGTTAATTTCTTTTAAATTATTTAAAATTTGTGTGAAAAAACATCTGCAGGCGATACTATCCATACATCAACCAAATTTGCCATAATGTGATAAAAAAATTGTATAAAAAGGCAGCACCAGACGACACACTATTCCATTTCATTTTATAACCATCGCTGATCAGCCGACCTAATTTTGGATTTACGACTACTAATGATCAACTCCATAGCTTTGAAATTTTGCAAATCCAGAAGACAAGGTGTCCTAGTTCTGGTTCAAGAATTGGAAAAAATTGCCTTCGTGGAAGGCTTTTTGATGGAACTAACCCGCAGTAGCATTGCACGGATATGAAAACCACAAAAAACTCCCAATGTTAGCTTGGCGACAAGGGTATTCTAACCCATGATCCGTTTATCACTGAGGATATTTTCCGTGTGCACTGTGGTCTATACGAGCCGGGTGCGAAATTCGTATAG